AAGAAGATGTAGCATCACCTATTGGCTTTTCTCTATGGGCCCAACCCACTTTCCCATTTTTATCTCAGGCTGCCTCCAACCCAGGCCTTCAGAATCACGGCTTCCGCCCTCTTTCTCCCTGCTGGGTAGTCTCCATCCTGACACTGTCCTCTCCGACACCCAGGATGCCTCCTGCAAAAAGCCACCATGACGACCAAGTCCAATCAGAATGATCCTCTCTAAACCCCTGAACCAAGAATTGCCGGGACTGCTTAGTTCTAAATACTCCATGTTCATTTTCAGGTACCTTTATACCTGGATCTTTCCGTTCCCTGATTTGAGTATCATCACTTGGATAAGAGACTTTATGTTTTCCTTCATCCCCCACAAGGCCTGGCACAATCACTAAAGAAGGCATTTCATTTTATTTTTGTAATAAGCCATGTAAATAAATAATTTTATTTGTATGGTTTGCATATTTTTAGTGCTCAAAAGTACCATGCAGCAGTCATGAGAAAAGCTAACAATTTAGGCTGACAGTTCCCTCCTTCTGTAAAAAGAAGCTGGCAAAACTCTTTCTTTGTGAGATCATCAATGCCAGCCCAGACGTCCAGGGCTGTGCAAAACCCTTGGAGGCTCACAAAACAATAGTCTCAGTCAATAGACAGCCTGATCATGGTAGAGAAGCAAGTGAAACTGTGACTTTAGAATCTAGACACTCAGGGCGTGCGGGGGAGTCTCTCCCATTGGCCACGATGACACTGGGGGTGGTTCTTTTTTTTTTTTTTTTTTTTTTTTTTAATATATTTTATTGATTTTGTACAGAGAAGAAGGGAGAGAGATAGAGAGTTAGAAACATCGATGAGAGAGAGTCATCGATCAGCCGCCTCCTGCACAACCCCTACTGGGGAAGTGCCTGCAACCAAGGTACATGCCCCTGACCGGAATCGAACCCGGGACCCTTCAGTTCCCAAGCTGACACTCTATCCACTGAGCTAAACCGGTTTCGGCCTGGAGGTGGTTCTTACATGGAGCATGCCAAAAGCTAGCAAGATAATTAGACAGAGAGGAAAAAGCCCTCCCCTCCGTATGCCTATAAGAACAGCAGGCTTGAGCAGGAAGAGCAAGGATCTTTGAGACAGAGAACGATGGGATTATCTTTGAGAAGAGAGTCCGCCATGCTCCCAGGTGATGTGTTTCCTGAATACAACCTTTCCTTCAGCGCCAGCACCTGCCTCATGAGTTCGGCTTTCACAGCCGCCGGTGACCACACCTAAGGTCTTTTGGTTGGGTTATAAAACCATTTCGTGTAGGCCTTCCATAAGCATTAGCATTGCTGACTTCACAAATAGTAACATTTTCTCTCCAGCCTTCATTCATGCTAAATTTCAGAAAATATCAAATGAGAGGCAGAGAAGACCAACAGCACGGGCAGAAAACTGGTTCTAGCTCTTCTGGAAACCCAGGAGAGTCCGCCGTGCTTTATCCTACATGCAATCCAATAGCAGAACACAGTGTTTCCTCCAGGTGGAAACAACGCTTACCCAGCAAACAAATCCTGTTCATCTGGAGAAGCAGGGAAGAAGCACTATTTGTTTTTCCGAAATGCAACATTTTATAGACAAGAAATCTATACTTCAAGTTCTCAAGGTGGAAAGAAAAGTGAGCTTTCTCATCAGAGTTGGCATTCCATGAAGGGCATATTGTCCATCTGCTGTAGGAAACACATTGATAGGTACATTAAAACCCACTTATAAATGGAGAGCCTCTGAGCCTCATTACACAGATATTAATAGGAAGTAAAATAGCTTTTATTTACTCGGTGCTCTGGCACAACAAGGTATGGGGAAGGGACTATGCTCATTTAATATTAGACCACCCTCCAGCACCATCAAAGAGCAGAGAAGCTATGCCCTTCCCCAATGGTGCCTGACCATAAAGAATAGACCAGCTACAACAAACTCAGAATGAGTGTCTCAATGTAACAAGTGAGCCTGGCTCCCTCTGGTGCTTAGAGGATCGGAGGAAAGCAGTGTAAAGGGGGCTGCTGGCTAGATCAGAGCAGCCACCTTCAGCTCAGAGGCCTTCCCCAGGGGACAGAGTAAGTGGGAAACATCCAGACCCTCTAAGGAGGACCTCACCTTTGGACACATGGAAATCCTTGTTACGTAAGAAAATGGCTCTGGCATTCAGAGAGATGATACACCTCTCGTGGCCTACCTCCCCAAGAAACGGCCACACAATGAGTGGGGATAATGTGATTGTATAGACCAGCGGTCGCCAACCTTTCGGATCTCACGGACCACCAGCTGGCGACCGCTGGCATAGACTACTCTCTTCATGTATATTATTTCACTTAAATACTCAAAGAGTTCTCATATGGCAGAGATTATCCCCATTTCGCAGACAGAGAAACTAAGCCTTAAAGGGGTCCAATCACTTCTGTAAGCTGAAACTTGAATCCAAGTCAACCTGAAGCCACAGCCATGGTCTTGCCTTTTGTCATCCTATATCCTAGCTCTCCAGTCTTCTTTAAAAAAATCAGCACGTTGTAAATAGTCTTCCATTTTAGCTTTAAGGACACAAGTTCTATTTATAGCTCAACAAAGGGACTAATAATTTGCCAAGAGGATCTTTAGATCCCTCTGTTGAGGCACTCCTGTAGCTGCATGGGCAACACCGAACCATTAATAGATATAACTGCCTCACCTGGCACCCAAGCAAAATTAAATATTCACATTTATTTTTTAATGTTATAAATATCTCGAAATAGGCTTTTAAAACTAGCAAAGATTACTGATGAGAAAGGAGGAAGGGAAGGAAAAGGAAGGGGTTCAATACAATAGGAGGACCACAGTGGAAGGACCCTGAAATAAAGGAGAAGCCCTTGTGAGATTCAGAGAAACGGCCTGTGAGGTGCCGTAGGGCAGAGGGCCAAAGGTTGTGCCTGCTTGCTTTCCACACAGAACTTTTCCATCCAGTCAAGGCACCACACGCAGTCCAAAGAGTCTCTCCATAGCTTATCGAACATGTGTTTGCTGTTACTCAAGTCTAGAGAAAACAAAGCAAGAAAATGCCTTTAATTGCTCTTCTCCTTCTAAGACACCTCCTCTCCCCTGACCCTTTCTCCTCCCTGAAGACTCGCTGACCTACATCAAGAGCTTACTGCTAGTAACTATTCTGTTCTAATTGTTTCACGTGGACCATCCCACCTAATCCCCACAATGCCCATTTTTATGACCCATTATGCACAAGGCCACAGAAGCGCCAGACTGTTGGGTAAGGCCAGGATCCCAATCCAGCAGCCTGGCTCAGAGCAGACAGGACAGTCACCTTGGGACCCCCTTCTCTGCAACCAGGCAAGCTGCATGACGCCAACGACAGCGTTGACGACTGCAAAGACTATGGCACAAAGCATCCCCAGAGGAAACGCGGACCAGATACCAAGAAAGGACACACCTGAGTTTAAATTGTCTTCCGAAGGTACAGAGATGGGACTCTATGAACACTTCTAAGAAAAGGCACACCGGTGCAACAGAAACACTTGAGGAAAACTACTGCACCATTAGACTCTTGGATTTAACAAGCATTATAAGTAAGCAGGCTCAAAATTCACTTGGCACAGTCATTTTATTGAGCTTTTCCCCAATGTAACAATATAGGAGGACTAGAGAAAAGTGTGTCTTTTTGTTTTTATTTATTTTTTTAATATTTTATTGATTTTTTCAGAGAGAAAGAGAGAGGGATAGAGAGTTAGAAACATCGATGAGAGAGAACCATCAATCAGCTGCCTCCTGCACACCCCCTACTGGGGATGTGCCCACAACCAAGGTACATGTCCTTGACCGGAATCGAACCTGGGACCTTTCAGTCCGCAGGCCCGCACTCTATCCACTGAGCCAAACAGGTTTTGGCAAAAAAAGTGCGTCTTTTTAAAAACCTCTTCCCATTTCACATCACAGTATCAATATTTATGCAGGCCACTTCTCATAACAAAAATGATAAAGCTGTAAATGAAAACAAGTATCAGAAAACCCCATGAAGAGCATCAGTGCTGTGAACATTCCTCCAGGGCATTCTACGCAAAACATTCTCTCACCCTTAGCCCACTTCACAGAGCCCAAGGAAGCAACAAGCCACTTTCCCTCAGAGGAAGCCAGCAGGGTTTCAACGCTTCCTTCTCTCGTTTTCCTCCTCATAAAAACCCTGAGATGAAGAAGCACCATAAGCCACAAACTATAATTTCACCTTTTCAAGTTCAAGAAATGCTCAGCCTTAGCCTTGAGGTTCAGACATGCAATCACCTCATTTAAGTTGTTTTTCATCCAGTTTTGAATAGAAAAACACACGGTTAGAACTTTTTGGAAAGTCCAATATAATTTTTTCTTTTTTATTATTTTAACACATGTTCATTACGAAACCTCCACATATCTTCCTATGCTTATTTAAAAGTATTTTTTTAATTGTTTAGAATTACTCCTTTAAAAAATTCAACAAAACAGATGGGAAGAATTCTAAATCAATATTTTATTTCATGGAATCCAGTCAGTGCTTTTAAGTAGCAAAAGTGTATTTCATCATATAGTGCCCCTGGCAAAATAGAACACATTTCCCACTTTTAAGCACACCATCTTCGTAACCTAAGAGAAAAAGCACTCTGTTTGTGAAAATGCTATTCTCTTTTCTTATCTCCACAAAAAAAAAACAACAGCCTTCCCATTTCCACATTACCCTATCTCCTAGCCCAGTGGTCGGCAAACTGAGGCTTGTGAGCCACATGCGGCTCTTTGGCCCCTTGAGTGTGGCTCTTCCACAAAATACCATGGCCTGAGCGAGTCTATTTTGAAGAAGTGGCGTTAGAAGAAGTTTAAGTTTAAAAAAATTGGCTCTCAAAAGAAATTTCAGTTGTTGTAACTGTTGATATTTGGCTCTGTGGGCCAATGAGTTTGCCGACCACTGTCGTCGCCATTTCAAAAACACCATCAAACTTAATGATGTCAAGGTGAACGGGAGGGACTTACAGTTGAAGATGCCCGGAGGTGGATGCTCTGTCACCAGGAGACAGTTCTCTTCATCGCTGTTATCCCCACAGTCGTTCTGTTGGTTACAGACCAGTGAACCAAGATACAAGCATTTACCGCTGGTGCAGGTGAATTTGCACTCTGAAAAAGTACAGTGAAAGCATGCAGTAATCAATGCCAGTGTGATTCTCTGGAGTTATTTCTTCCTCCCCCATTTGCATTCCATGAGCGTTTTGGAACTCAGTCTCCCTGGGGATCCCAGGAAACAGAACTCAGAGAAGGGAGCTCCTAGTAAGGACCTTCCTTCTATGAAACGCTTAGGATAGTGCCCCAGAGGCAGTCGAGGGCCTGCACGTCTCTCTCCCACAAAATGAGTAGCACAGGAGCCTTCTTCCCAGGACCTGCCAGCAAATGTCACAGTTATGAGGCTCCTATTATATTTTCTTTGAAAAAGTCCATGGCGTTTTTCCATGCCTCCAGCACTGAGGCTACAGCAGAACTTGGGCACTCAGGCTTGGTAAGAGAGGGCATATACATTTTATTTTCAACTTGTCACTAGATGATGTGAAGCTCTGAGCAAAATATTTAACCTCTTGCCCTAGCTGGTTTGGCTCAATGGATAGAGCATGGGCTTGTGGACTGAAAGGTCCCGGATTTAATTTTGGTCAAGGGCACATGCTCGGGTTGTGGGCTCAATCCCCAGTGTGGAGTATGCAGGAGGCAGCTGATCAATGATTCTCTGTGGTCATTGATGTATCTGTCTCTCTCTCCCTCTTCCCTTCCTTTCTGAAATCAATAGAAGTTTATTGAAAAAAAAGAAAGAAAGAAAGAAAGAAATATATATTTAACCTCCCTGGTGTTCATTTATCTCTTGTCTAAGAAAAACCAGGTTTGATACCAGGTTGTATAGTATAAAACATGGGAAATAATATATGCTCTCTGCTTCCTGAGAAGCATCGATGCCAAGGGACAAGTTATAGGATGGAAACCAACCCAAACCCCTGCAGGCCACATTGAACAAGGGCTCCCTGAACTCTGTACAAATCAATATTTGAAAGTGGAATTTACCGTTATAAACTTTAAAATAAATTTGTAAACTTAACACATTTCAATTTAACACATTATCAATTTAAGCAATTAAGGGTAAAGAAGATTACACAATTACACACATGTGGGCACATAAATGTCTGTGTGTGTCTTACAATGAATGTCTGTGAGCTTTTCTCAGGAGCACCCACAGAAGCTGGCAGGACTTGCATAGTCCCAGCTCGGTGGACAGCCAGAAGGAAAAAACTCAGGAAAAGTATCCCAAGACCTAACCCCCCATCCCCTGAGGCTGACTATCACAGCCTCTTAATTTCTCTTTAATTTTATCTGTCCTAGAATGTGGGTGGCAGGCCTGGATCAAGTCCAAAGTCCTTTTGACTTTAAAATTCTGTTATTAAAATAAAAGGCTGGGCATCAACCCTCCAAGGCCTTCTCCAACTATACTAAGGACACCTAGGGCTGCAAAGAGAATAACCTTTCACCCATTGTAAAGAGACAGAACTTAAATCCTCAAAAGCATGTATTTCTGTGACCCACTATGAAACATTACAATTCTCCACTTGTTCACATTCTCTTAAAACAGTATAGAAAAAGACACCAACCACAGTCCCTGACCTAGCTTAGAATAACATGTGAGCACAGCCTAAATGCACAGCCACAATGTGATATAGAAAATACTGGAAAATAGCTGCACTGTACAGTGTGCTGAGTGCGGTCCAGGCCATGTGGTAGGAGTGCTGCTGAAACCAAACTCTCTCTTCTCATAAAGTGAAAAGATTAAAATCCAGCTGTTTGAAATCACACTTATGAAGTGACTTTTTTTTTTAACTTAATGGGAAAAAAGGATGTCAAGAAAAGAATGTGTCTTCCTTTCTAAAAGAAAGGTTAGAGTTCCAATTAATACCAAATATAAAAAGGACACCAAGACAAAAAAAACACAGGTATTCCTGAATCTGAAGTGTTGATTGGAAAAAAGGGAATATTAACCTAAACTGAATCGAACTCCAACTAGAAAAATTAATCGTTGCTGTGGTTTGAAAGGATCTCGGGTTATATTACCACACTCAAGTTCACTTGGTACTTTTTAAACCAGCAGGGAAATGTAATGACATTTCCACACTGGACTCATTTCAACTTGTTCAAAAGAAAGATCCAGCCTAGAGTCACAAAATATTTTTAAGGAAATGAATTACGAGGTTCATTAATTCACATAATCAGTGTTTTAGCCCCTTCTACATTATGTACCAGGTAGTAAGACATGAAAACAGAAAGATGAAAGAGCAAGTCTCTTCAAAGGCCTTACAATATGAACTTTTTTAAAGTGTAAGCAGTACCGAAACCGGTTTGGCTCTGTGGTCTGCAGACTGAAAGGTCCCGGGTTTGATTCCGGTCAAGGGCATGTACCTTGGTTTCGGGCACATCCCCATCCCCGGTAGGGGGTGTGCAGGAGGCAGCTGGTCGATGTTTCTCTCTCGTCGACGTTTCTAGCTCTCTATCTCTCTCCCTTCCTCTCTGTAAAAAATCAATAAAATATATTTTTTTAAAAAGTGTGAGCAGTGATTGATATATTTGCTAACTCCTTCCAAGGTCTAATTTCCCTTCTATGTATCCTTCACGTCTAGAGTGCTGCCCAGCAAGGAGCAGGCACATGGTGACTCACATATCTGTCGAATAAATGAATTATCTAATCAGAGCCTCATAAGAACTCTGTGAAATAATTAGGGTAGATATTCTTATTCTCATTTTATAGATGAGAATATTAAGATGCAGAGATTAAGCCAGCCAGTGTGGCTCAGTGGTTGAGCATCTACCTATGAACCAGGAAGGTCAGGGTCTGATTCCCGTTCAGGACACATGCCCAGGTTTCGGGTTCGATCTCCAGTAGGGTGGGTGCAGGAGGCAGCCGATCAATGATTCTCTCTCATCATTGATATTTCTATATATCCTTTTCCCTTCCTTTCTGAAATCAATAAAAATATACATTTTTTAAAAGATGCAGAGATTAAGTATCCACCTATAACTAAACTGCTAATAAGAGACAAAATCCAGATAAGTGTCCAAATTCTCTGCCTCTTTTCTCAAGTTCTGCCCATAGTTGCCTCTCACTGTCCAAAACTACTTTCATAAATGTCTAAGATTCATTTGTAATTAGGATGCCCATTAACATAACAAAGTTCTCAAAAGAATTAGTTATCGTAAGCAGGCATACTATTAGTCAGGACTCATTCACAAGGCGTATGCTACTGATTTGCTCAGAAAGCTCTTACTCCTTAGACAATGGAAATATCAACACCAACCCATTGAATTTCAAATTCCTAAAATCTAACTCTTCTCAACCATGATCGTTAGCTGAATATCTGTCACATCGCCTCTTGAATCAATACACTATTAATAGATTGAAATTTTGAATCTAACACCTTCTTGATGTGATATAGAAAATACTGGAAAACTGCTATAAATTAAGCATTGAAGATTAATACTAAAGCTAGTATAAGATTTCAGACCAGAGTGAAGTGTCTGTCCAAGTTAACATGAGTGGTGTTGATAGAGGCAGGCTTCCAACTTATCCTGACTCACCCTGCAAGGCCATCTCTACCACAGGTTGCTACCCAAAGTCCCAGGACATTCAGCCAGTGCATTCAGACATGAGGGGATGGTCCTCAAATACTAAATTATTGTTGTATTTCAAACAAACTGAGAACCCTAGATGAGAGGATCTAGCTGGGTCTGCATATTGGAACCACCTGGGCATCTTTCAACACTTCGGGTACCTAAGCTGCAGCCCAGGCCACTGGCTCTCCCTAAGCTGAGGTACAGCGTGGGCAATGGGGATTTCTAGAAATCCTCAGAATGCTTCTGATGGGCAGCCAAGATGGAGAACAACTGCCTAGAGAGAAGTACATAACTCACTTACAGGAAGCCCTCTCTATAGCTGAGAGTATTTTATTGGAATGCTTAGTTGATATTTGCTAATTTACTAAAAAAGAAAAACCAAGACAAAATAGAAACTAAGGTACAATCTCTTTAAAAAATATATATATTTTAATAATATATAATATATATATATATATACATATATATATATATATATATATATATATATATATATATATATATATATTAGAGAGTAAGGGAGAGGGAGAGGCAGAAACATCAACAATGAAAGAGAATCATTGATCAGCTGCCCCTGCACACCTTACACTTGAGATCGAGCCCACAACCCGGGCATGTGCCCTGACCGGGAATTGAATGAACCGTGACCTCCTGGTTCATAGGTTGTCACTCAACCACTGAGCCATGACAGCTAGGCTAAAGTATAATCTCTTAAAATGAGTGGTATTTTGATGATCCCTGGATTTATAACCTGGTTGCTACAGCTCTGTACTGTCAACGGATACTTCAAAAACTTTGGGCCCGACCCCATTTGGCTCAGTGGATAGAACATCAGCCTGTGAACTGAAGTGTCCCAGGTTTGATTCTGGTCAAGGGCATGTACCTTGGTTATAGGCATATTCCTGGTAGGGCGTGTGCAGGAGGCAGCTGATCGATGTTTCTCTCATTGATGTTTCTAGCTCTCTCTGTAAACAAATCAATAAAATATTTTTTTTTAAACTTTGGGGCCCCAAAACTGCATTTGACACGCTAGAGACAGGAAACATCCTCAATGAAGTAAAACACAAGTCAGTGAAAGAAAATAGAAGAATAGAAAAAATGTTTTCTTATTATATTTTGTCCATTATTGTGGAACTTGTTGAGTATTTCTGCCAAGCCAGGAGATGAAGGAAATCAAAGGTTGTTAAATACTAGAAACATTTTGGCTGTAAATTTGTGGCGATTTCAGATTAAATACAAAATGAACAACTCAGGAACCGGTTTGTCCTTCATGAGCTATAGATTTTATTTTTAAAATTATAATATTTAAATAACATTTTTAAAGTCAGGACTTTCCAAATGAAGAAAATGGCATTTCTATCATGATTCTCTATGTGATATTCTATGAAAAAATAGAATCAACAATAGATTTACTTTTGGTAATAAAGAATTTTCTCCAAATTTGGGGTCTTCTTTAACTTCAGTGATATCGCAATAAAGAG